TAAGAATAGATGCCTTTGAAATTTATATATACAGACGGATGCTGAGAATTCCATAGATAGAAAAAGTTACCAATGGCGTGGTACTCGGCGCACGAGTAAACAAAAAGAATTACTCAGCATAATCGAAGAGAGAAAAATACAATACTGGGCTCATGTGTTGAGAGGTGAAAGATATGAATTAATTCAAGTTATACTGGAAGGAAAATTACAGAGCAAAAGATGAGTTGGAAGACGCCAAATCTCGTGGCTGAAAGACCTGAGAAGATGGTTTGATCGCTCATCCACAGAAATTTTTCGTGCAGCAATTTCCAAAGCTACAATTATTGTCATTTAGATCGCCAACCTTCCAAAGTAGACAGTGTAATAAAAAGAACAAGAATGTCAAACTGCACACATATAACATACATCATATAAATATCAGGAATAAAAGACAAACAAAAATTTTACGTAAGGTATAATCAGAATTTTACGAATAACTTTGTCTTAAAATAATGTTTTCAAATTTAATTCGGCAAGTCTTAAAATATAATATTGTTTTGCTTTTACGGAACAAGTAAGTTGTCTTCTTTATTTCCTACTTTTGTAACAACCAGTTGTTGCTGTTGTTGCTTTAAAGTTCTTAAAACTTTTGTTAGTATTTACTTCTGCATGTTGTGTTACACTTTGAATTTCAACTATAATGTGCTGCATTTATTATCACCTTGAAGCTGAGAAACTCGGGGTTTCAAAGAACTCATCGACCATTTTGTCTAAAGAACCTTCTCCTTAACTTTTCTCTTTGAAGATTAACATAAACGTAAATTGTAACAAATAAGATTTCTTTATATTCAGCACAGTGAGTATAATGTATCGTGTTTTAAGTATAACGGTAGACGTTAGTCTTATTACTTAATAATCAAAGAGTTAAATATATACAGACATAAAAAAGTTTAGTATTTAGCGTTTTGCGGTTTTTTACTTTCAAAAAACCTTGGTTTTTTGAAAGTCATTTACAATGCCAATAAGCAGATAGTTATTGGTTTATAGAAACGGATAGGAGCTACAGGAGGATACTACAAATATCGTATGTGGACCATGTCGCCAACGTTGAGGTCCTACAGTGCATGACAAAAGAAAAAGAAGTCCTAAATTTAGTGAAACAACGTAAGCTTGAGTACCTCGGCCATGTGATGCGGAACAAAGAAAAATATCGAATTCTTCAACCCATTATGCAGGGTAAAGTATTTGGCAGGAGAGGACCGGGACGCCCTCGTATCTCGTGGCGAAGATAATGTAGTAAGTAAAAAACCTCCAAAAATGGTTTGCGATGACCTTCGCGGAGCTGTTTCTAGATATAGAAACTACTAAAAAACTACTAAAAAAAATAGCAACATAGATATCTTCAATACCAACATCAAAGCAATTAAATCTAGCTTTCTATCCGCTTCGATCACTTTATCTTAGCATGTAGGTATATCTAATGTCAAAATCCCTACTTGTATTTATTTTGTAAAATGTGTTTGTTGTGAAATAAATAAATAATTATTGATTAGGTTAACCTAATCAATTTCAAAGTTTATTGAAACTAAATAACTTTAATATCTTCTCCATTATCATCGCATTTGACTCTTTGCTGTATACTTGATGGCAGGTATACAGACATAAAATTAATGCACACTGAAGTTCGTATTTCTAACTAACTGCATGGAGTAGATTTGAAACTTTCGAGCCATTGTCACTGTTAGCTGTTACTTTTGAGACTGCGATAGTTTATAATTAATTGATCTTCAACAACAGCGTGACAAAACCTCAGCTAATGACGCTAATAGAGAACTGTCTGTCATAACTTGATAGACTATGATACAGGGATGAAATACTTATACTTTAATTTTATTATTTAAATATTACAGAGGGTGTAAGACATTAGGAAAATTTAAGTGCTTTGTTATTTATTTCGTTTATGGATGACATCATAAAATAAGCAAAACTTAGCCAATAGAACAAAGCCGAGAAGAAAAAATCCTAAGAAGTGTAACAATATGGAAAAAGCTTTAAACAAATTGGACATGAACATGGCAGTAGCAAAAAACAGAGTGAATATACACATCCAGATTGATACATATCTATAAAAATTAAACAGGTTTAAAGAAGGAAGAACCTTCGTCATCGAGAAACAAATATTTTTAAGGCTATATTTAGGAATGGTACAGGGAGTAACTAGAAAAAGCGAGTAAGAAATAATGTCATAAGAGATGAATTAAAAGTATAGTCAATGGCAAAGTATGTTGAAATAAGCAGTTAATTTGACGGGGTCATATACACAAAAAGATATGAGAAACTAAACCACAAGGGAAAAAGAAGAGAGGAATATTTAGGGAGACTTGAAACGATGTGATAATAAAACAACTTTACAAAAAGAAGTTAAATGGTGTAACACAACAAACGATGGACAGTTTGACGCACATAAAATGAACGAGGTCGCGTTGCTCAGAGTCGGGAGAAATGTGGAGGTGGTTCTTAAGGCATTTCCACTAGCACAGAAACAAAAATAAAATTGGAGAGAACAAAAACAAAAAAAGTTATTAAAAGATAGCTACTCGAGCTAAACCAGAAATATTAAAGGAATGAAGCAAATAAAATAAACAATATAAAACATTGAATTCTTTCTTTGTAGCTTCTAAAAATTGGAAAAAAGAAGACGAGATATATAAAATGTAAAATTATTAAAATTGACCGAAAGTTTTCTAGTGACGTGACGGTTGGTTTGCATCAAGGCTCTTCACATCTTCACTGAGTCCCTATCTGTTTAATCTTATTAAGGATGTACTGATAGAGAAGGTAAGAAAGGGGGCTCTTTGGTTAATGCTCTTTGCGGATGATACCGTGTTAGCGGAGGAAAGTAAATAAATGGTGGAGGGTAAGAGAAGGGCTAATGAAGAAGGAGGATTAAATGTTAGTAAAACGAAGTATATGTGGTTGGAAAGAACGGGGAGAAACTAGGAGATTAGGATAATTTAAATACCTTTACGCTCCTACATCATGAGACACTAGATCCAGCAGTTGCTCACAGGATATACAGGCTGATTATTTTAACTGGAAGCGAATGAGCTTGCTAGACTGTGATTGAAATATCGAGGAAATGCTGAAAGGCAAGATATACAAGAGTGTTGTCAGACCAGCGTTGGTGTATGGTAGTTAAGCAAGAAAAGAAGATGGAGGAGGTTTGGTCACGTCAGGCGTAGAAGAATTGAGCTAATAGAGGTTGATGAAAGGAGAGGTAGAGGAAAACTGAGGAGAAAATGGAAGGACTGTGTAGCAGACGACTTGATAGGGAAATATTTAAGTGAAGAAGGCACGATAAACAGAAATGAGTGACGAAAGAGAGTAAGGAACAACCTCTAAAAAGGAAAAAGCTTAGCAAGAAGCAATCTACTTTTATGTATACTACTTCTTAGGTAAAAAATAATTACGAACCTATTTTTATGCCCTTTGTGAATTCAGAAATAGTTTTTTACTTTTTTATATGCTTTCTTTTATAAACATACAAATTTCTGTTAAAAACTTTTATTTGAATCGTAATAAATAATTATTTAAAAGTTAGAGAATATTCTATAATTTAAGCCAAAAATAATTGTAGGACAAGTAATAAATACAGAATTAATACAGAATTATTAAGGACCTCCCGCGGAAAGGTTAAACGTACTCCCCACTGGGTGTAGCTTCCCTAATGTCATTTTATTCCAAATCAAGCATATTGCTCTGTTTTTACATTATTAAAATAAATAATAGATTAAAAAATAAATAAATATATATATATATATATATATATATATATATATATATATATATATATATATATAGAAGATTCTTGTGGTATAGATTTGTTCTTCTCTCTTTTGGTGCCCTCATTGATTTGTTTTTAAGAACAAAACTGCGACTGTTTGCTACTTACATCACGTTTTATGTTTCAAACGAGCGTAAGAAGAGTTTCTGGAAGTTCATTTTTGCCTTATATCCGCCACTAACCCCAAAGTGGAATTATGTGTTGTGTCTTGCATTACTACATTTCAAGTGCAATATCAACGATTTGACATATCTATAGTAATAAAGATGGGCGGGCTCATAAAAGGAATGTTGATTAGATTGTATATATTTAGTTTTTACAGATATTGAATTAAAATATGTGCACATAAACTATCTGTTTGGAATTTATCCATATGATATTATTTAATTACTTATTTCACTGTTTATTTTCTAATAATTTCCCATGCTATATTCATATTTTTATTAAATCTTAAAACCACTTGCATAAGATTGTCTACTAGTCTGTGGAAAAATAATTAATTATAAATTAATTATTTAAATTAAATTAATAATAATTTTAATTTAAATAACAAACAAAACGATTAAGTTAATAGCTTTTTTAAAGATTTACTTGAGAATTACTTAATTTATTACGTCCCTTAAACGGTGTGTGATATGACGTTCGAAAATGTTCCCAAAGGTTCGTTCTGCGCCTGTCTACGTAAAAAGGGTGGCCGTTCTTCGAAACGGGGTAGAACTAAGTCAATACTTGGGCGACGCACACATCTATAGCTCATCGTAGCGTCGTCGCAGCCCTATTTCTTGACTTCCTCGCTTCTTCTTATCTACAACAATCAAAGACGGTTTCTCTTTTGAGCTGATAATAATTTATGAGTTATGCTAATCGACCTGTACCAATTGATTTAATTTGATATTTCTTGTCTTTCAAATTATTACTAACTCCGAACCTGTAACTTGTTTCTAATTTCTTTTTAACAAAACAATATATTGACCTTTGCTAGTATCGCCAGTTTTTATTGAGATTATTTTTATGAAATTTCATTTATTTTAATTCTGCATATATATGCAAACTATATTAAAATTTATGTTATGTAACAGTATACATATTTTAGCGTGCAATTAAATATTTCATTGTAAAGTTTAGATAGTGTAGCTGATTTTATATGATCTAAATTTTAAAAGAATGTAATTTCAATTTAACTCTCAAGCGGCGCAGTAGTCTCGACAGTTTGCAAGAATGTAAAGAAGGAATAAGCTGTTTTGATCATCTGAAAATAAAACAATTACAGTTAGTGCAGGAACTAGCTAACAAAGGTTATGTTACAAAGTGTTTTATAAAATGAAACGTATGATAAACCGTAACTAAGAATCAGTGGGCATGTTCTGGCTAAATTGTAGTTATATTACCTGTTGTATGACATGGCCGCACTAAGACTCATACACTGGAAGTAGTTTTAAACAATTGGTACTCACAAGGTAGTTACCTGTAATTAATAGTCCATATGCCACACTCTTGTAACTCAATCGTACCTCAAGTTAAACTAAGTAAGGATAACCAGATGTGGCTAGAAAATTTTGCTGCACAATACTGACCCCAAGGGAGAAGTAAAAACTTTTATGATCGTGAATCAGACAGCGAACGGTAAAATAGAATTCATAGTGTCATGGAGTGCCTTATTCTGTGGACTACTGCGTACTTTAATGCGCATCGCCCAACCTCAAATTATTCCCTTTGGTCAATTTACCTGGAAATCCCTAAAATAGCTACAATACGGGTGTATAAAAAAGGCGATTTTCAGATCAGGCAAGTCAGTCCTACACGGTCTCTCTTATAGTCACCTCCACTCTAGGGGCCTTTCTGCTGAGTCTCTGCTCCTTCATCTACCTTCAAAACCCTGCGGCTGGTTTTACTTCAATTACATATTGGGGTTTTATATGTTATATAAGAAATAGACTAGCCCAACCAAAATATCAACAGTCCATAGCCAAAATGGACTTAGCAGAGGATTCTACTATATTCACCTGCGACGGTGAAAGTCCTCTGAAGAGCGAACGAGGACATAAAGGCGGTTTGACCCCTTTCTTCGATGAAACGACAACAGAAAAACATTTTTACGTGGTGCGGAAAACAAGAATACCATACTACATTTCCCAAGAAAAACTATGGCAGAAGGAATGTAGTTTTTGTCTATAGAAGACCTTAAGCTGACCAGGTAGTGCTAGAATTATCACACTGATACAAACAAACAGAATGGAAACTGATTTTGAAAAGCCAACAAAAATTGACACATGCCAGGAAAAATACACAATATAACCAAGCAATGTGAAGGTTGGAAATAAGTATCTTGAGTTTAAGCGAAACCAGATTAACAAAGAAAAACTCCAACTCAACACTTATACCTTATACCACCACCCTCAAATCCTACCAGATCATATACCTACCACCCAACAAAATCAACAAGTATCTATCACACAAAACAGCCAACCTCAATACCTTTCAACTTCATAGGCCCTGGACTCTTATGTAAAACCATCCACAATCCAGACCCAAACCCAGGAGAATTGTTCTCCTGGGATATCAAGAAGAAGCAGAACTAATCTGACTTGACAATGGCAAGGGATACCTTGCCGTAACGTCGCCAAAACAATGGTTTTTCAAAAAATCAAAACTATTTAACGCTGAATCAAACCCGGAAACAACTGAAACCACATATAGCTCCTGCGGAAATTTAAAATCCAATATACACACACATATATATATATATATATATATATATATATATATATATATATATATATATATATATATATATATATATATATATATATATATATAAACTTTGATGGTACACAAGGCAAATATCGACGAACACAGTAGTTAATCAAATCTTGCCCAAGTACTTTCGATCACAAGATCATCCTCAGAGGCATTTCGTCAGTTGTGGCCTATCCAGCAGTAACAGAATGTCATAAATGTAAATTGGGACATAACCAATACACTAAACAAAGACAAACAAACACTTTAAAATTTACGAAATGGAGAAGCTACATTTTATATAGAAGCCGGAGACAGCTTCTACTTCAACTGTCTCCGGCTTCTATATAAAATGTAGCTTCTCCATTTCGTAAATTTTAAAGTGTTTGTTTGTCTTTGTTTAGTGTATTTGTTATGTCCCAATTTACATTTATGACATTCTGTTACTGCTAGATAGGCCACAACTGACGAAATGCCCCTGAGGATGATCTTGTGATCGAAAGTACTTGGACAAGATTTGATTAACTACTGTGTTCGATATTCGCCTTGTGTACCATGAAAGTTCATTTATTCGAACATTCAACCTTATATTGACATATATATATATATATATATATATATATATATAATATATATATATATATATATACCCTGCAAGAGCACATAGCCACACGAAGAAAATTTAAGATGAGATTGGCGGTTTTTATACCACAACATCACCACATTCCTTCGAAGACTAAAAGATAGAGGAGGAATAAAACGCACTTACCGCTACAATTGTTTGTCTGTTGATGTCTAAAAATCCCATCGCAGATAAACATACCATCTTCTGGCTTCTAAATATCATAAAACTCAGTGGCTTTCTAATCGGTATGATATTTGGCAAATACCATTCACAATGATAAAAAGCAGAATTGGCGACCTCTTGTGCCTAAAAAGTAAATTAAATTTAGTTTTCAATGTCATTTAAGGAAGATAACATACTTGATAGACCTATTTGTATTTTAAAAACACATTGCTTTTTGACTTAGTAAAAATTTAATCTTGACATTTGTATTCACTACTGTAGTGGTAATACTTGTAGTAGCTTAACTCATGTATACCTGGTAAATGTACTGATGATGGATTTGTTAGTCCGAAAAAGTTATGTTGTGATACAGAACGAAAAGGTTTTTTAATCATAAACATTTTATAAAGGATTTTCAATTGTGGTTTATGGTATACAGCCAACTAAAAGAATTTTTCTTTCCTTGTGCATCAGAAGAATATCGTGAAGATATTAATATATTGTGCTGTGAAATGTACAATAGAAAAGACAGTGACAAATTCTTAACTATTAGTATAAACAACCGCTGCCAGAACTGAAAGAAGATGAGAAAAGTTAAGCGTAATTTTGTTAAGAAGTTGTGAAGACGGCTAATATCATCTTGTTTAATGTTGAGTGCATATCTACACTAAAATGCCGTAAGAATACTTTTAAAGCCAATATTCTTCAAAATTGACAAACAATAAGGAATATTCAACACCACATTGTTGGCCTATTAGTCTCGTAGAAATATTTATTTATAGAAAAGTTTTTGAACTTGCTAAGTTTTTGAAGATTTTACGAAGAAGAACGTTGTAAATGGTTCCTAGAAAGATTTTTTTAAATAGATTATGTTTTTTTACAGAATGGAAGGAGTTATTCGATATATACGATAAGTGAAAATGACGACGAGGTCACTACCCCCAAACATTGCCTTGCACGCAGGTCAGTTGCCCTTACAAACCATATCCGGGTGCAAGCCTAGATAGGGTGAAATGACCGAGACATCATCATAAACAGTCACAGAGTCCAAACAGAAAGTGCTAGATGGGATTACCGAGCAAAGATTATGGGACAGTACTCATATACAGATTGAACGAAATAAATTCGGAACATAGGAAACATCATGTATTTCGGCTCATTCCTGCTGTAGGAGGTTGCCCAACAAAAGGTTGTCAAATAATTATATTATAAAAACCCAATACTTCTGCGGGCTGCTGGATTCTGAACTCATAAAAATTGAAAGCTACGATTTTATTACGCTGTCAAACCACTTATAGTCCAGGAAATCAAGCATTTCACCTCGTAATTTTTTCGTCCTGCGTGGATTAACTTGAAATTTTAATAGAAGGTAGGTAATAGCCTAAGGATCAAAATCTATATCGAACCAAAGTGCGCCAAAGCCTTGGGGGTGGTTGCCACTCCATCCCGGGGGTGAAATTTTTTTTTTACGTTTTAACTACAGGTTTCGATTTAAAAAGTGATTATAAACAAAAAATGTTCCATACTTTTTTTTTTGTAAAACTGATATTTTTCACGTTATTCGCGATTGAAAGTAACAACTTTTAGACGAAAAAATCGACGTTTTTAATCGATTTTCGCGAATAACTCGAAAATGGTGCATTTTATCAAAAAATTGTAGAAAACAAATTTGTAGCTTTTAAAAAGACAAATATAATTCATTTTTTAAAATGTTTTTGCGATATAATAGGAACCGAAATACGGCCTATCAATGTTCAGCGGTTTTCTTCAAATGCCAAATTTGAAAGATTCAAAGTCAAATATCGGGAAAATTTTTGGAAGAAAACTCACGCAACCTTTTTTAAAGAGCATAAATATATCTATCATAAAAAAAGACTCTAGCTCAAAAATTGAGTGAGTTATGATGAAAATAAGGCCAATACCTCATTTTTTACGAAAAAATCGATGAAAACAACCCCTAACCACTCCCATAATTAAAATCGATCTTCACCCTTCTGCAATTCTCTTTGTACATGTATTGTTAATACGTCCAAGAAGTTTGACCCATTTAAAATGCTTAATTTTAGAAAAAGTACAGCTTAAAGCGAGAAACGATTTACAATTTCATATTTTTTACCCTTCTTTTTTTAAATATCCCCGAAAATACTGAATATATGAAAGAAACAAAAATGTACTTAATTGTAGCTTTTTTAATGACTAAAATTTTCCTTTATTTACATTTGTTGTACAATGAATATTTGGCGAGATATAGTCGTTTAAAGCATCGATTTACGATCCAGCACCATCTTTTTCGAGCCCTTTAAACTCACCCCATGTAAAAACCAGAGGTTCCAAAAAGATTTAATTCACAGATCCTGATAGCTCTTAAAACCTCTACAAAATCGTTTTTGAAGAAACACTCTATCGTTAAAAATGAAGAAAATACGGTAAAAAAACCAATCAATTTTTTTTCCGGAACATTCCATTCGTATAGGACAGTACATTTCGGAGCATAATAATCTACAAAACCGGTATATTAGGTAGTGGGAAGTTATACATTCGAAATTTTAAGCGTTTTTATTTTGAAATCCCATACAACAGAATAAAACATTTGCTCATATGTTTATGGCTTGGCAATGAAAATATCAGAGCAACAGACTGGGGATGGTATTCCAAAGATGGTTTTTTATTACCCGTACGCATGAACAAACAACCTGCACCCGATTAACTTTTGAAAATTATTTTTTGCCAATGCAAAAAAGGATGCGGCGTTTCATGTGGGTGCAGAAAAGTTGGTTTATACTGTAACTTTACTTGTTCTGGGTACTTAGGTGAAGGGTGCAATAATAGTCCACCAATAATTGAAGAAAATGAGGATGACATAGATCACGATGAAGATGTAATTGATGACGAATAAAATAAATATTGTAATTGTTTTACCTATAAATGTAAATATTTTCAACTATTTATGTAAATGTATAAGAATATATGGTGCCTTTTTATGTTGATAAATTTTTTTGTATTTAATTCTACTTTTTTCAATTTATATCTATTAAATTAGTTTATAAACTGCACCCTTTACAACTGCAATGTTGTAAAGGGTGATTTTCAAATGTTGAAAAGTTGCAAAATTTTGGCAAAAATTGTTTTTTACCTATATCACTCATAACAATTGATTTTTAAGGGTTGAAAATGTATGAAATTGTATTTTAAAATATAAAAAATCACTATTTAACTAATCCAAACCAAATTTCACTCATCTTAAGATTTGTAATGTTATTTTACAATTTTTGAAAATTAAGGGTAGTTTTCACCCCTAAGAATAGTCAGGGTTCATCGGCATGACATAAACTATAAAGCAGAGGGTGAGTTGAGCTTAATTCCAATTTTTATGCAAATCGTTCCAAGGCGAAATAATTTTCTTCGCATTACTAATTTTTTTACATTAATCTCTAACAAGGGTCGTTTTTTAAGGGTTGAAATATGATGGAACTTTATTCAAAAGCACGAAACTATCATTATTTAATTAATTCAAACCAAATTTTACCCATATTCAGGTTTAATATGTTATTTTATAATTTTTGACAATTAGGGCTAGTTTTTACTTCTAAGAACAATGAGGGTTCGTCTACATGACATAAACTATAAAGCAGCGGGTGAATTGAGCTTAAATCCAAATTTTTATCCAAATCGATCCAAGGCGAAATCATTTTTTTAGAATTAGTAATTTTTTTACATTAATCTCTAACAAGGGTTGCTTTTTAAGGGTTGAAATATGATGGAACTCTATTCAAAAGAATAAAATAATCCTTATTTAACTAATTCAAACCAAATCTTACCCATACTCAGGTTTAATATGTTATTTTATAATTTTTGACAATTAGGGGTAGTTTTCACTCCTAAAACCATTCAGCGCACTTCGGTTCGATATAGATTTTGATTTTTTGGGCTATCACCTACCTTCTGTTAAAATTTCAACTCAATTCATGCAGGATGAAAAAATTGCGAGGTTTTAACTTTTTTCGAGCTTCATTTCCTGAACTATTAAAAACTTCCTTAGACAAGCAACATTGTTACACAAGCAACATTGTTGCGAGACAGATAGTTGAACGATATTTTATACAATGTCTATACCCAGGTATGGATTTATTTTTGTCCAAGTTTTATATTGGTCCACTATTTCAAATGCAGTTCAAACAGACATATATTAATTCTATCTGTAAGTATGTATATCTTTGTCATCACGCTTTTCTTATAAAACAAATTCCCTTTTATACTCTATTTAGTGTTGTGATCTTCGACTTTTTAGATATTTCTTAGGTAATTCTGTTTACAAAACCTCTTGTATGCTGGGCTTTTTATAGAGGATAATCTAATATAATCTTGACGAAGACGTCATTAGTTTGTCCTAAATATTTTGGAACACTTTTTAAAGTATTATATACACCGATTTCTCTACTCTCTTCCATTTTATCTTCCTGATTGGCTACAGTTGCCTTCGCAAATAACTTTTATAATTAACCTGCAACTTTGATATGTGAAATAATATTTTTTAACTTACCTCATCAATTAATTTTTGAGCTGGTACTCCGTATAATAATAAAAATTCTGAAGTGAAAGCCATCACCATAGTTCCACATCTGATTAAATCGACAATTGTGTTATGGCTAAAAGATTATGTTTTAAGGTTAAAAACTTAATTCAATACTAGCGTAAAATCATACAAAACGAAAGAATATCACATAAATTTGGTATGACCTTTTATTCAGTTCTCATCCATTGGTCTTACCATATTGTTAATTATTTTTATTCAGTTTTTGTTAGTTTCTATCTGATTTTTCCCAAATGTCTCTGGTTTATATAAGAAAATATTCTTAATTTCTATAAATCACTACTTTCCTTGTAACTGGTTGGCGACTAAAACAGAAAATTGTTCAGAGTCTTGAGGTGATGACTTAAGAATGTTCCTGTTGAATAGATCCAACTTCTTATGTATATTTTTTTACAGATTGAACCATACTTGGTGTCTTTCAGCATTTAAATACATTCAAATCTTCTTTTCAGGTACTTTTTTTCAGGAATTACATTTACAACGACACTGGTACTGGCACTTTCTACAAAGTCAGTGTTACTATGGTAAGCAATATGTTTAACCACATGTCTCCATGAATGGACTCCTATAGTACTGATTACTGAGTCTTGTTGACGCTTTTCAAGCTTTCTACAAAATATGTTACTGCAGTTCTCTGCAATTAGTTTCTCTTATAAAGATTCTACCAGTTTAAACTAAAGTGACTATGACTATAAAATTGTCCGATCAACTTAATTTATGATGGAAATCCAAATTGTACTTATTGTACGACGGAATTTATGTGACAAATTAGAAACCAAAAACTTATAGTAAAATATACTTACGGTTGTGACAGCACGTACATGTTCATGCACAACAAAGCTGTGATAATGGAAATTAGCATTGCGAAGAGCGAAGAAAATATTTCATCAAGGTGTCGGACATACCTAAAACGTCGTAACAATAGTTAAACAATTTTTATTGCTGAAGTATTTGCAAAAAATGCTTTAAGAAGTGTATGAGTGGACAGAAAGTGTAACTTCTCTCATCATCCAGCCTCAAACGTAAAAAGTTAAACATAGACGTCCATCTTTTGTTTCCAATCCCATCTATTTCAGGCTGCTTTCATCCAATTTGTATACATTTTCTTTAACTCGGTACATCGTGTTGGTGGTCGTTCGGCGTGTCGTTTGCACTTGTGTGGTCTCCATTCTAATATCCTGTTTATCCATCGACTACCAGCACATTGCTATATATCTGCCTTATTTAGAGGTATTTCCTCAGAGTAAGCTTAATGACCTCTGCTTTTTATTCGTAGGAGTAAACCGAATCAATCTATTTAATTCTTGTGCAAGGAAGATATTGTTCCTGAACATTCGTAGTAGAAGTTTTTGTTATTTCTATAAGCCTATTTTATTTTGGTTTAGTGGTTTGATGTAATCTTTCTAGGTTTGCATCTAGTGTTTTTGTAGTTGTTGTGTGGTCCGACGATTTAGCCATCGTTACCTATTTTAAACTTCTGGGTATTAAGTTCTGTTGGCTATTCTCCCAATTTTTTGTATTTTGCCAATTGTATAATATCCCCAATTGTATAATATCTTCAAGTTCTTCACTTACGTCTTGGACTAATCTACGGACTCGGCGTTGGATGATCTAAATAGGCTTATCTCAAAGTCAATGGAAGACAAAGAGATAGCAATGGCCGCCTTCTTAGATATAGAAGGGGCATTTAATAATGTTACCACCGGCTCTTTGATAGGAGCTATGAGTAGACGAGGCGTACCTGCGGTAATATGCAGATGGATAAGGGCATCCCTAGAGAATAGGATAGTAATGTCCACTCTGGGTAAAGCAACCATCAAAGCAAAAGTAGGTGGAGGCTGTCCACAAGGAGGAGTTCTGTCCCCTCTACTTTGGGCAACCTTGGTAGATGATCTCCTCAGAAATTTGTCAACAGAAGGCTTTTATTGTCTAGGATATGCTGACGATATAACAATTGTCGTCAGGGGCAGGTTTGCTCAGGTGGTGTCTGGGAGAATGCAAGCAGCCCTAAATATAGTTGACGACTGGTGTAAAGAAGAGAGACTGATAGTCAATGCTCAGAAAACACAAATCGTCAACTTTACCAAGAAAACAGCACTACAAGGCCTAAAACCACCGGTGCTGGGAAGAACAGAGATTTCATTTGCCAAAGAAACAAAATACCTTGGGGTATATTTTGATCATAGGCTTACATGGAATACTCACATTATAAAAACCACACAGAAAGCTACTATGTCCCTGGGCAGATGTAGAAGAATGTGCGGGAAGAATTGGGGGCTAAACCCCAAAATGACTCTATGGTTATATACAAGGGTTATTAGACCCATGATAACCTATGGCTCGGTGACGTGGTGGACAAAGACGAAGCAAGTGGGAGCAATAAGGCTGCTAGGTAGTACACAAAGGCTAGCATGCCTGTGTATTACGGGGGCCATAAAAACAACTCCTACTGCATCGTTGGAAGTCCTGTTGAATTTACCACCACTTCATATCTTTATACAGGGCGAAGCCAGATCAGTGATGCACAGATTAATCCATAGTCAGCGACATATAAGCCAAACGCATGGTACTGACAACAGAAAGCTAATCGAGGAGCTAAAAGCCGATATTGTGATGGGGAAGCCTATCGATGCAACAGCTACTAGATATAGCTTTAACAATAAATTCACAATTAAGATACCGGGCAGGGAAGAGTGGAATAAAGGGGTACCCATAAAAGCTGCTGCTACCTGGTACACGGATGGCTCAAAAACATCGGAGGGTGTTGGAGCCGGCATAGTAGGGACAAATCAAGGGATACATTTCCCGGTAAGTCTATCTAAGGATGTGACAGTTTTCCAGGCGGAAATAACTGCAATTCATCACTGTGTGGAAGAAATAGAAAGGCAGGAAAGAACGTTCTGTTCAGTTGCCATCTTCACAGATAGTCAGGCAGCGCTTAAGGCACTCAATTCTGTAGAGGTCAATTCTAAGCTAGTATGGGATTGCGTGTGTGCCCTAAATAAACTAGGAGACCGTAGCAAGGTTACGGTAGCCTGGGTACCGGGGCACGAGGGTCATAAGGGCAATGAAAAAGCAGATGAAATGGCCAAACAAGGCTCATCAATGCCATTCATTGGACCGGAACCCTTCTGCGGCGTTGCAAAGTCAGTAACAAGAACGGCTACAAAGGAGTGGGTAGCTCACAAATCTCTGGAATGGTGGAGGAATTCACCAGGACAAAGACAGGCAAAACAGTTCATTAGAGAACACTCGCCAAAATTTACGGCAGACCTAATTAGCAAAGATAGGAAAACAGTCAAAGCCATAGTAGGTCTTCTAACAGGGCACTGTAAGCTGAATAGGCACTTGAAGCTATTGGGATTATCAGATGATGACCTGTGCAGATTCTGTCACCTCGAAGAAGAAACGGCAGAGCACATTTTATGTCAGTGTGACAGTCTGGCAAATGTGCGGTTTTTTGCATTAGGAGAAGAAAATCCACCGGCAAACAGCTACATGGAAGGTACAGTCTCGAAGCTACTAGACTTTATAAAGAGGGTCAGGCTAGAGAATGTTGTCTAGGACTAGAGGGCCACAATAGATCTGAAAAGGTCGCAGTGGAATAGGCCGAAAGGCCACCTCTCTTAATCTAATCTAATCTAATCATTTACGTCTTTAAATCTTCCCCTTGTATCTACTAACTTTTGTACCACTACATATATAGAGCATTTGAAACTGCTTGTTCCAAATCCAGGACTTTTAACTGGAATTCGTTTGTTTTCCTTGTTGATTTCTGGAATAATAACTTTAATTTTCACTTACCATTCTTCTAAATGTGATCTATGCCGTCCTCTTTAACTTGTAATTTACTGTAATATACGTGTGGGTTTTCTAATTTTTGTCTTTTCATTATCATCAATTCTCAAAAGTCCACTGCTAACCGATGGCTCTCATCCAGTTTTTTTTTTTTTCTTCTAAAATCGTCAGCTCATCGCGTAGGTGGTCTTTGTCTTCTCTTGGTCTCCCTTCCAATATACTCTTTGTCTATCGTCCATCCGTCATTCTAGTTATGTGTCATGTCCATCTTGATTTTAGTCTGGTTATTCTTTAGTGAAAATCAGTCACCTTGGTTCTTCTCCTGGCCTCTTCGTTTTTTATTTTGTCTCGCAGACAAAAGGTTTTTTAGGCATTGTTCAAATACCTCATACTTGTTGCCAAAACTCAAAATCGAAATTTCTTGATATAGGTTTCGAAGATTTGGCTCTAAAAAGCGAAATTCTATAGCTACCGATGCATGTAAGTGATAAATGATATTAATATCATAAGAATCGTAAAAAATGTTAAAAATCGCGCTTTAATTATTTATTTAACAGCTTTATAGAAACTGACTTCATTTGCGGCAAAATTCAAAATTCTATACAAAAGCTGCACTCTTGACCTTTAAATCCCATTTTGATTTTTGTCGATAATCCGATCTCTGATCCAAAAATATCGAATTTTTGCCTGCGAGTTAATACAAATTTTATTTAAAAAATTGATTTCATGCACGTAACTGACATTCAAAATCGCCAGTCATTTCAAGCTTTCTTTCTGAGAGAACGGTTTATTCTACACATACTTTTTTGCGATTTTTTAGGCTCCCTAAGAAGGGGTGACAAAACACAACCTTGTCGTACACCTTTTTCGAGTGGGAAATATGATGTAGATTCCAGTCCTACTCTCACAGATGCCATTTGATTCATATAAAGATTCTTTATGATTTTAAGGTCATTTGCATCTATCGAACGTTCCTGGACCAATCCTACTAATTCTGAATGATTTACACAATCGAACTCTTTCTGGTAATCTATAAAGCATAGAAAGACATCTTTTTGCTGATCTCTGCATTTCTGAAGTAGGACGGTTAAGCTATAAAGTGCTTCTCTTATGCCAAATTATTGTCTGAAAATGAACTGTGTGGGGCTAATGTATCTTTAGGATACCAGTAAAAGGGCTATGAGAGAACTAGCCCAAAACAGGTCATTTTCCCATGTAAATCTCCATAAGAAAATCTAAGGTCCATTCTGGTCATTTTTGTCTCATTTTGTGGTGAGGGTAAAACGGCTCGACGGATCATGACGTGTAAGGTATCGTTGGAAAGCAGAGGGGACGGGGAACACGTTGAGAGATAGAAAACAAACAATAAGATATTACCAAAACGGCGCTATATCGTATCTCCGTTGTTATTGATCCGATCGTGAAGTACGAGGGCTCGTTGGAACGGTGAGGAGACGGGAAATACAAACCTGTTTAAACCTATTCAATACCTGTTCAATACCTGTTCAATACCTGTTCAATACCTATTCAATACCTATTCAAACCTGTTCAATACCTGTTCAATACATGTTCAATACCTGTTCGAGAATTAATGTAGGTATACGATCAATCAGCTTTAATGAACTGGTATTGAACAGGTATAGAACAGGTATTGAACAGGTATTGAACAGGTATTTAACAGGTATTGAACATGTATTGAACAGTTTTAAACAGGTTTGAACAGGTTTGAACAGGTATTGAACAGGTATTGAACAGGTATTGAACAGGTTTGAATAGGTATTGAATAGGTATTGAACAGGTATTGAACAGGTATTGAACAGGTATTGAATAGGTTTGAACAGGTTCATATTTCCCGTCTCCTCACCGTTCCAACGAGCCCTCGTACGTCACGATCGGACCAATAACAACGGAGATATGATATAGCGCCGTTTTGGTAATGTCTTATTGTTTGTTTTCTATCTCTCAACGTGTTCCCCGTCCCCTCTGCTTTCCAACGATACCTTACACGTCATGATCCGACGAGCC